AAGTCAGAAAACCTCCCCAAGGTCACATAGCTGGTCAACGCAGGAACCCGAGTTCAAGTCCACGTCTCTGGGATTCTAAGCCATTGTTGTTGGTTTTGCACACACCTGCTCCATCTCTGCCCTGCCACCCTCACCAGAGGATGGTTCTGGAATAAGTGGAAGAAAAAGAAACAACTGTTCTTGATGCCTGAGCATAGAAGACATAGATTCATCTTCCAAAAGATCCCCTTTTTTTGCTAAAGTTTAGACATTCAGAGATAAAACACAGCAAGCCTGCAATTTGGGGGAATGTTCTGACTGGCAGGGGTTATAGGAAATAACACTCGAGTAGCCTTTATAAACAAGTCTGCACTGGCATTTTTCCTGTAGAGAAATTTTGGCTAAAAAAGTGATCCTTTTATAATTAAATTTCAGGAAATTTGAAACATCCTTCAAACATGTTTTCAAACATGTGTGATCTTGTACAGAAAGAGCCACACTTAATGATCAGATGTGTCCTGGCAAAGTTAAACCAGAACACCAAAAAAGTCTGGGCTCGGTCCTCATTTCCGGGTTAATTTCGAGGGTTTTATGATGACACTGCCTGCTGTTCTACCAAGACCGTGTAGGGCCTTCCTGCACTCGGCCCAGACGGCGGCGCCCACACCCAGACCCGACTGGGTTCAGCGGTGCAGAGCCCCCCAGGAGGACCTGGGGACCCGGAGCTGGCAGCCCGCCAAGCGCAGCTGTGGGGTGAATCTGGGTGGGGCAGACTCTGCCGCCACAGCCAGAGCCAGGGGGACCGCGCACACTGTCACCGTGTGGGCCCGTCACCCTCATCTCCCTTCAGGACCTACCCTGGTGGCTTCCCACCTCCGTCCATTTGCCTGGACCCCTCATCCCCTTGTAAAGCTGAGCTCACTCTTCAAGCCTGTCCCAATGCTGTCACCTTCGCCCTCCCCGGGGCCAACGGTCAAGGTGCCGGGAAGAACCAAAATGTGACTCCAGTTGTTAAAACAGTGAAATTCTTCCCCACCACTCGGTAAACAGAAATGCCCCAAACACCAACCTCCCGCTTCCTCCCTGCCCCCAATATTCCTCTCTTTTGCCACCGTGGCCCAGTCCCTCCCCAGGCCCTCTGGGACCTCCCCAGCACACACCCAGACCCGACAGGGGACCTCCAGGTTGTCCCCGTCACTGTCACGGTGTTGTGCCGTGCTGCCTGCTCTGTGGTGAGATGCGCTGGTATCGCCCCGCCCACCTGCCCGCGCCCCGCCCACCTGCCCGCGCCCCGCCCTCTTCACCGCCACCCTGCGTGGCAGGCGGGTGTGCTTGCCCTCCGTGACCTCTCCTCACGCGCTGTGCAGTCCGGAGGGCAAGGACAGCACCTCGCAATGCAGAGCACCCACACGGGGTCTTCTGCAGAACGCAGACGCGGCCCTCGCTGGACGCGTGCTCTGAAGACACATCCACTGCCGTCGCCACCACCAAGAGTCCCTGTCTGACAGGCAGCGCAGAGCTCGTGAGCAGCCTGTGCTGAGCGACAGCACCTCAGCTCTCCTCCTCCTGTCTCTCTGCAAAGAGACAACAACATTCCCATGGTTTCAGGGCCCACTGTCTCATATCCCTATGATAACTGCCAACTGGGAAGTGACAGTCTCAGACTGCCATGTGGTGGCAGGCAGCCTCCAGGGGGCCCCGTGCAGCCACCGTGCTTCCCCGGAGCGTGGCCGCGCTTATGGACCGCATACGATGGAAGTAGAAGGACGTCACTTCCGAGTGCGAGTCACAAAGGGCCTATGGCCTCCGTCTCGGGCGCTCCCACCCTCCTGCACGGCTCACCCTGCGGGAAACCCAGGGAAACCCCGCGGAGAGGCCCCGCGGTGAGTGGCGGGGGCCGGCAGCCGGCGTGAGCGAGCTGGGAGGCCGAGCTCGCACCTGTGCAGCTGCACCTGGACTCCTGACCACGCAGGCGGAGGTTGTTCTGACACGCTTGCTGGTTTAAGCCACCACACTGTGGGCTCGTCAATGAATAGCCAGTACGGCTTCTTTAAGGATCTGACGGAAAATATCCTGCTTGGCCTAAGAATTCAGACAAATATTGACACGACAGCTGCCGTTCAGACTGCCCGCCGGGCCTGGCTCCATGCGGAGGCCTCGCCGTCTCGACCTTATGCGGCCCGCTGGGGCCTCCGGTGAGCGGCACGCGCGTGTCTTACTGAGGCACGGAGGCAAACAACAGGCACCTGAAACCGCAGGACCCGGGCCTTTGCTCGCACACCTGGCCACTCGGCGCCTTGGTGGCGTGTGGCCTCAGGTGCCCACACGTCACACTCAGCCGCAGGGGAGAGAGTCGGCGTGCGAGTCCCCGGTCACAGCTAAGGCCTTTGGAGCCCCGGCCCGTGCCAGGACCCCCCCGTGCCAGGCCCCCCCCCCCCGGGTCCCCCCCGGCCAGGAGCCCCCCCAGGGGAACCAGAGCTCCTGCGATGGGTCACTGGAATGACCACGGCCATGCGGGATCTTAGGCATTTTGTTTTGAAAAGACTGAAAGCTGCTTTTTTTTTGAGACTTCTATCGCTTTCCCCCAAAACCGATTTAACATTTAATAACACCACCTTTAAGAGTTTCTGCAAATTTCACTCGACTTCAATTTAAACTCATTTCCACTTAGGTTGTTACAGGTGAGGATGAAAAACGCCTAGTCATGAACTTCCTTTTGTTCCTTGTTGCTTTAAAAAGCAAATTCCTCAGACTCCAGAAGGATCTCAACATCATGTGCTATTACAAAAAAAAAAAAAAAAAGAATAGGTAGTGTTTTTTTGGAAGGTCATTGGAGACAAAAAATACTGCTGAACAATTAATATTTATTATAATAAGAGGCTGTTTCTCACCCCTTTAAGGGTAGCAGAAATTTTTTCTTTTCTTTTTTTTTTTTTTTGAGACAGAGTCTTGCTTTGTTGCCCAGGCTAGAGTGAGTGCCGTGGCATCGCCTAGCTCACAGCAACCTCAAACTCCTGGGCTCAAGCAATCCTACTGCCTCAGCCTCCCAAGTAGCTGGGACTACAGGCATGCGCCAACATGCCCGGCTAATTTTTTCTATATATATGTTAGCTGGCCAATTAATTTCTTTCTATTTATAGTAGAGACAGGGTCTCGCTCTTGCTCGGGCTGGTTTCAAACTTCTGATCTCGAGCAATCTGCCCGCCTCGGCCTCCCAGAGAGCTAGGATTACAGGCGTGAGCCACCGCGCCCGGCCGGGGTAGCAGAAATTCACAGGCGCCTGGAAGGAGGCATCTCACCCGCCCCCGTGTGCCCCGCCTGACCAGCCCCCCTGGCAGAGGGCAGGACTGTGCCCACAACTCAGGGAGGGTGTCCCCGGGCAGAGCGTCGGCACCGGAGCCGGCCAGCGCCCCGCAGAGGCTCCTGACCCCCTCCCCTCCGCTCCTGCAGCCGAGCTGCTCCTTCTCATCACGACAGCGATGCCGGGGCTGTTTCCCGGGTGTCTGGAGAGGCGGGACGATGACTCGCCCCCTCTGCTCTCCCTCCAGCTCTGATGGGAACTCAAGGCTCAAGGAAGCACTTTAGCAAGAAGCCAGAAGACCCGAGGCCCCACCCAGCAAGGCCCCCAACTTCCCGTGAGATCAGAGAGGCATCAGCCTCGAGACCTACCGACGCTCCCAGATGCCACTTGGAAAGCCTGGAAAGTCACCCGCTGCCTCTACACGACTGCCTGCGTTCCAGGAGACAGGAGGCAGGGAGACAGGCGCCCCGACGGCCCAGACGTGCAGGCACTGCGCACCCCGCCACCCGGAGCAGAGCCACCGGTGTCCCTGCCGGGGCTGTTAGGACTGTGAGATTCTAAGGGAGAGTGAAGCCACAAAACGGTAACTGAGATCTCCGCCCAACGTCTCTACAACTGGCAAGGGAAGAGACTAGAATTTCTGCCTCTGTTGCTGAAAATATATTTGGACACACACACACACATGCACACACAGAGTCAGCACTGGATAAATCAATGGGAAAACGAAAGGAGAAACAGTTGGCAGGAGGCGGTCTTCACCTGCCCCAAGGAACCAGACCCAGGAAATCTATTTCCATCTGTCCTCCACGGTCTCCGAGGCCCTGTCTCCAACCTTCTACGTTCTAAACGCCATGATTTTGTCTGCATGGGCTACAAAACACACGTGCGACACGAGCAAACACACGTGCCCTATGGGCAGGCAGGGCACTGTTCCCAGACACAAAACCTGATCTCCAAGTTCTGGTGCAAACTGTTGGGACCTTTCCCGGCCCGCACCAAGGCGTGAGCCGTGATTCCCGCTGGCACGCCGAGTGCCGATGAGGAATTAGACTCGGTCACATGGCACGGCTCCACCGCTACGCGCCTGGGTGTGTGAAAGACGACAAAAGTCAACCGAAGATACCCAGTTCCAAAGGCATGCAGGCTACATGCAAGAGGAAGTCAAACCAGTTGGAGAAAACCAGAATTTCATAATCATTCCGAATTCTCCAATTCGAACTTTCTGCCTTCGGGATTCACCGTTGCTGAGCCCGCAGGGAGCCACGTGAGCAGCACGCAGCGGGGAAAGCTGCCTGGCAGCCAGCAAGCGGTCGAGAGCACAGTAATTAAAACTATGAATTGAGGTCAAACTAGACACGTTCAAATCCAAACCTAACTACAGCTACGGGGCCCTGAGCGGAATACTTAAACTCTATAACTTAGATTTTTAAAAAGGGAGGGCAGAATGTCATCTGCTCATAAATGTTTCCGTGAGAATGAGACGAACTGATTGTGTGTAAGACGCCCGGTGGGTGGCAGTCGGCGAGGACCTTCCCGGCGGGAAGATGTTAACCCCGACTCCGAGGAGCAAGAGCGAAAAGCAGTTTGTTGAGAACATTTCGTCAAGTAGAAACCGTGGCTCCCCTGCCAGCTCTGAACGCCGGGGAGCAGAAGGGCGAGCGGGGTGCCGGGCCGGAGGCGCGCGCGGGGAGGCGGGCGCGTGAACGCGGTTCCGACTTACCCCCAGGACCCCGAAGCGCTCGGCCAGGCTCCAGCCGCACAGGAAGTCGATCTCGAACTTGTGGTTCAGGATCACGATGGCGTTCTCCTTCCCGTACTTGGCGTAGGCCTGCGGGTCGGTGTAGAGGGTGCACTCGGTGCCCGACCACCACTCCAGCAGCATCACCAGCTCTGGAAGAGACCGGGACACACGCTTATCTCACGCAGCCTCCGTCCTCCGCGCCACCCTAGTTGCAGGGCCCCGCCCGCCCAGCTGGGGGAAAGCGACTTCTAGGGGTGACGTCCCGGACCCTTTCAGCCTAGACCCCAGTCCTTGAAAGCGCTTAGAAGCGGAAGAGAAAACGAGGACGACGCCACAACACCCTCCAGGGAGGGAGAAGAGGATGTTTTGAGAAGGCAGACGACGTACATTTCTTGATTAAGTACCTTGGGGGGAAATCAATCGGAAAGCCCGAGTCCCTCACGAATCCTCGCCCTGGAGTTTGCAGAGCTCCGAAGGGCGGCGTGAGGTGACACACGGAACGCCGAACAGCCTGGGAAGTGGCTAACTGGGAACTTCCACACCCCACCAAAGAGCACTGCGTACCCCCTTCTCTCCCACCCAGGGGTAAAGAACCGCGCGTCCGGGTTCTGCGGCCGGAGTCCCGGCCCCTGAAGGCCCACGGGAGCCTGGCGTCGCCACGACTAGGCCTAAAGAAAACGGCCACACTGTTCTCTGCAGGGGCCTGCGAGCATACAACAGTTCTTTCTGTTTTCAGGCCATAAGGACCAACTCCCAATCTGGAAGGCTGGGGGTAGGTCTAAAGGGTAGGAAATGTTCACAGAACGTGTTGAACCTGGGTGATTCCATGGCACCCTGAAATGAATTTTCACAGCTGGCAGTGTTGGGCAGGTGCGGGGTGGGCTGTGCGTGAGTCCCCTGAAAGGCCGTGCCCCCTTTTCGCCACCGGTTAGTGGGGTCCACAGGCGGGGGCTTCCTCCCTCCCCACACATAAAGGCAGGCGGGTCCGACCGTGACTGCAGCCAAGCCTGGGGTCTTGAAGGCTCGCGTGGCTGCTCTCGGAAACCTTTCTCCTCGAGGCTGGGGCTTGCGGTAGAGACCAGAACCCTCCGGAAGGCGCCACCCGTCTGGCTTCTAAGCGGTGAGCACCGTGGGACTCTGCGCAAGGTAACCGCATGGTGCCGCGCCGTCCTAATCTTTGGCATAGGGTTGCTGCGTGGGCTTTGGTGACAATTAAAGCCCGTAGCACACAGCTGGTGCTCAGTGTATAGCACATGGCGAGCTCCCGGCAAATTAAGGCTACCAGAATCATTACAAATGAACAAGAACACTCCCCTTCCCTCCACAGACGCGGGCAATGAAAGGCGTCTGCCTATTTCCAGCCCCAACTGAGGGACAAAGGGACACGCTGCGATCTCTGGGCAGGAAGGTGTTCCCGCTGCTGCACTGATTCTCCCGAGACACTGCATGGGCCGCGCCAACCCCTTCCCTCACCGGCACAGACAAGCACCGAAGCGCGGCACCCGGGAGCGGTGAGACACGACTCCCACCCCCAACCTGCCACGTCCCAGAATGCCTCTCTGTGCAAGGCCAGTTCTCAATCCCGCCCCGACCCGGCACCCTCCGCAGCCCCGTCACGGCTTGTGATCACAGCACTGCTGCGGCCCATGGGCACCTCGAGACAAGACAGTGTTTGTTGTCCTGTTCACCCTAACCCCAGCTGCGACTCCAGGACCCAGCCAGGGCCAGGCACAAGCCGTGTGGTCCCCTAACGAGCCCAAGCGACGAACACCAAACACGCAGACGGGACCCCTGCCCTCCCAGAGCTGGCTGCCGGGGAGACGGCTGAGCAACCGCAGAGCAGCGTGCGAGGGAAAGGAGAAGGGTCTGCCAACAGCAAGCGCTCAGCGTCCTGCCCGTGGGCTTGGGAGCCAGGCACATCTGGTCCTGGTGGTGCCACTTACAGGGAGACTCCTGGCTCTTCACTGTGCCCCGTCTGCATGGCCGGCAGAGCAAACGCTTCTGGAGATGCTGAGGGCGCCAGGCAGGACACGTCTTCACCGCACCGGCACGAGGAGCGTAGCAGGTAATCGGTAAGTGGCCAGCTTGTTACTGTTAGCGTTATACTATGGTAACTGTGTCCCACACAAGGCTCCGGGACCACTGAAGGGGAGGGGGGGAGAGATGGGGGGCAGACGTGGGGGGTGGGCTACTGTGGTGGGGGTGGGGAGGCCAGAGCCCCCAGGAGACGTGCCGCAGGTAGAGCAGCTGGACCTGCTGTGGGTCGGGCTGAGGACAGAGAGGGGAGGATGCAGAGCACGTCCACAGTCTCTGTCCCCAGCAGCCGGGGACAGGACTTGTTGTTCACTGGGCCGGCAAGCCTAGGGGAGGGGCGGGGCAGAGGAGGGGGACCTGGAGTTTGGGTTTGGAGGTGGCTGGCTCTGTGCAGCCCTGGACCCCTCGGCACCAGCCGGGCGTCCCCTCCCCCTTCCGTCATCCCTGATCGCCTGTCTGTCCTCCCGTCCTCCTGGCTCTGCGGCCACCTGCCTTTCTCTCCTGAACCGGCCAACCCGTCTCCTCCAACACGCTCCCAGTCAGGCCTCCGGGATGATCTACCTGCCGGGTTTGCACCCCATCTGGGCACTTTTTACCGCTAGAAATCTGACTACGACAGACCTCGAGACGAGAACATAGCGTGAGCAAAGCACCATCAGCACCAGACCACACGCTCTCAACGCCACCTGCTCGGCCACCGTGAGGCGAGGCAGCCCTGCTGTGGAGGGGTAGGACCCATCTCCAACACACCAAGGGTCCACATCCACTTCTGGTCCCCAGCGAGTCAGGGGAGGGAGGCGCCGACCAAGCACCCTGCACCGAGCGCTCAGGCGCCCAGGGCTCCTCCGCAAGTCCACGCAATTAAAAAGAAAGGCAGGACAGAGTGGGAGGGTCTGAGTTAACGGGGACTTCAGAGATACACTGACTAAATTGCAAGTATGGGTTCATTCCTGAGTTAAACACTCCAAACGTAAAAAAAACAAAAACAAAAAAACAAACATTTGAGAACTGGATAAATCTGAATGTAGGTGGTATTATGTGATATTAAGAAAATACTATTAATTTCGAATGTTGTGGTGATGACATTGTGGCCGTGTTTCTAAGATGTCCTTATTCTTTATAAAACACATGTCATGATCATTTGGAGTTGATATTCCATGACATACACTGTCTGGAATTTACTGCATAAATTTCTATCGATCGATCAATTGATAATTCGGTAACTGCCAGTCTGATGAAATATTTAAAGTTAAATCCAGATGGTGTGACTATGGGGAAGCCTTATGCTATTCTCCCTACTCTTACGTAGATTTAAGTTTTTCATAATGAGAAGTTAAAGGAAGCAAATTCCCTCTTCCTCGGATGACTAGACACACCTGCGGCAGGGGGTCACCTGGAAGGCCGCGGGGTCCTGGCTCCGGCATGGCTGCCTCCTCCCCTGGGGCAGCGCGGACAGAGACAGACAAAACTCAGGTGAAAACGTTCACCTGTAAAACACAGGCCGAGGGCATGCACGGAGTTCCTTTTTCTTTAATTTCTGAAACTTGATGAAGATTAAGGTGCAATTTGAAAATACTTTACATTTCAATGCCACTATATGTGAAGAGATTAAAAGGACTGAAGTTCCCAAAGTGTAAAAGTGTCACTTTTCTGTCCTCCCTTTGCTGGCCGCATAGAGTACTGAGAAATTCTCAAAATCTGCCTACCGTGGCCAAGGAAAGTTCTGTGGCCTCATCTTGGCCACGTGGGAGTCGGGCCCCAGAAGCAGGAGTCTTGGCCGCCCCCCACTTCTCTGCCGAGTGACTCTGGGGCACGCTCCTGACATCTGACGTGAAGGCACTCATGCTCCATGCCAGTCAGCTGGAGCCTGATTGAAATGAGAACATATCACACTTCTTAGCCTACAAAACCGGGGATCAGGCTCTGGAATGTGGGCACGCGTCCCAGGTCCAGCCAGCCCGTGGGAGACTCTGCCAGCCTGCGCCAGCCCCTGCTGTCTCCTGGGGGTCCTCTACCAACAGCCACACAGTGGGTTTCCAAGAGTCACTCCCGGGCCATCTGCGCCAGGCCCACGGCCCGTCCCTGCCACCAGCAGCATTCCCATTTGCAGTGCTGCCTCATCGTCCCTTGACGGCTTCTGTCTGGTCTCTCGCTCCAGGGTCCCCGCCCCTCAGCCCATCCTGTGCCCCTCCGCCACCTTACACTGTTGAACACCTTTGTTGGCTCCTCACTACCAACCAGATGAAGCGCAGGTCCCTCAGCCAGCCCTGGCTCCTTGGCCACCACTCCACCCTACGTCTTTCCACCACGGATCCTGAGCTAGAGTCAAGCGGAAGCACGTCCTTTCCTGGAACTACCTAGAGTCCTCGTACCTGCCCAAGCTTTGGCCTCTTGCCCAAGCCATTCTCTTGGCCTGAAAGGTCCTTCCCTTCTACAGGATGTCCAGCTCCTTCTGTCTTCTGATTTCAGCTCAGATAAGCTCACACTCCCCACCCCTCACCTCCGGCAGAAGCAATTTCTCTCTTCCACTCTCTCAAATCCCCCCTAAGGGACACAGCCTCGCACTTTGAAGTCGGACCCGAATTTGGATCCCATTCCATTATTTGCCCCTGACGGCACTGGCAGGTTACTTAACTCCCCCAGCTTTCGGTTTTACCCTATCACACACAGAAGTGTTGTGAACAACACATAAGGCCAATCACAGCACGTAAAGTGACAAGGGAACCCCCATCTGTCACTTGGCGCGTCAGGCACCAAGACCCCCACCCCTCCCGGAAGACCTGCACCAGCACCCTACCAACCTGTTTCCTGGCCACCAACTGGCCTGTTGCCTGGCATCAGCGTAGCACTAAACCCATTGCCTGGCGCAGCCACATAATATCAACCCATTGCCCGACACATCAACTGACCCACGCCTGGTACCCCACCCCTCGGACCACCACGACTTAATACAAGTGGGAAAAATCGCATAGACGGTGCTCAGAATGTGGTGGCGAGGCCCCTCTGAGCCTGCCAGCGAATAAACTGTGACTCTCTGACTCTCCGTGTTAGGCATCTTTTCTTCTGTTCTGTTTTCCTTCTAGCAGAGTGTGCAGTCCTGCAGGGGGGGACCTCA